GAGATCGTTTAGTGATTGGAATTTCTGACAAGCAAGTGTCTGAGAACATGCAGTTACAATCCGGACTGACTTTAGAAGAGGCTAAACAATTGGCTAGAGAGACAGAGTTAGTCAAATCTCAAGTTAGAAACCAGGATGTTAAAGACATTGAAGAGCTTAGGAGCAGGAAAACTTTTAATTCAGGTGGAGGAAAGAAAAGGGGTCATTTCAGAAGTAACACAGGTCAGCCTAGGAGAGGTATCAAGCAAGTAGAGGTCAAACACAGCATGCTACACAAGAACAACAATGGTGTTCCAGATGTGGTCAATCCCATAGGGGGAAATGTCCGGCAAGTGGTAAAATGTGTCTTAACTGTAGGAAGATGGGACATTTTGCTGTTATGTGTCGCCTATCAGGGAGAAGACAAGTGAATAGTGTGAACGCTGTAAACACACCAGAATTCTTCATCATATCAGTTGATTGTGAAAATGACAGTCAAGCATGGCTTGTGACACTTTATGTGCAATATACACCTGTGGTGTTCAAAATAGATACAGGAGCAGACGTTACTGTTATATCAAGAGCCACGTATTAGAAGATGTATAAGTCCCAAATAAATAAATGTTGTGGTTCCGATTTCCTACATTTCAGAACTAGGGTAGGTAGGTAGGGTGTGTTTTTTTTGCAAAATATTTTTACATTATTCATGTGTCAGAAAATAAATTTAATTTATTATGTGGTGAGTAAGATTGTTAGGCTCAGCGGGAATATTTAGGGTCGGTCGGGAAATCGGAACCACAAGCTTTTTTTAAGGGCTAAAGAAGCTAAGCTACAGCCTCCAGATAGGAACTGTCGGGACATAGTCACTCAATTGACTGTATTGGACAATTTCCAACAAAAGTGAAATATCATGGAAAGGACTACAACTTCAATGTGTGTGTGACCAATGGCCTCAACAATCTGTTGAGTCGAGCTGTTTCAACGAAAATGGGACTTGTGGAGCCACATATCAATAAAATCAAGTCTGATGTATTTGGACTGTGAAGCAGTTAGGATCAAACTGAGACCAGACGCACAACCTTTCAGTATCTCGACAGCTCGTCGTGTACCATTCCCCTTGATGATAGAAGTGAAGGAAGAATTAATCCGGATGAAGGATGCAGGAATAACTGAGGAGGTAACAGAACCAACTGAATGGTGCACTCCCATGGTACCAGTACAGAAGAAATCAGGAAAAATCAGGATTTGTGTCGACCAGAAATGGTTAAATGAGGCTGTGAGGCGTGAGAGATATATGATGCCAAACCTTGACGACATAGCCCCTAAAGTTGTCGGGAGCAACAGTGTTTTCCACCCTGGATGCATCAAGTGGGTTTTATCAAATACCACTTCACAAGGATAGTTAGAACTGACCACATTTATGACACCGTTTTGAGCTACTGCTTTTAAACGCGTACCATTCGGGATCACTTCTGTCCCTGAGATTTTCCAAAGGAAAATGTCTCAACTCCTGGCAGGGCATGATGGGACTGACGCTATAATGGACAAACGAGAACATGATGAGAGACTGGATAAGGTGTTAAAAACTGACTGGCCTCAAGCTAAACAGAAAGAAATGTAGGTTCAACCAAACAGAGATCATATACTTTGGTCACAAGATCACTAAGGATGGGATATGCGCTGACCCCAGCAAGATAGAAGCAGTGAAGAAATTAGCATCACCAAAAGATGTCGCAGAACTTCTGGGTATGATCAACTACCTCGGAAAGTTCTTGCCAGACCTGTCCTCTACTGCAAAGCCATTAACAGATCTTTTGAAAACTGACTCAGTCTGGTTTTGGGGACCAGCTCAGGACTGTGCATTCTCACACAGTCCAGTTTATGTGGTGATTAGGGTTCGATTGGATGTGATCAGAGATGGCTGATTTGCTGTCACCTCCCGCCGATAGACCCAAGCCTGATTCAGCCTCCATCAAGATCTCTATTTTGACATTGGTAAACAATCACACCAAATCAGCCGACTCCTAAAACAACAAGCAGGCATCGATACCACCTTCTCATCATCCTCCAGCCTCAACAACCTGCTTCATGCTAACGGAAGAAAACATCCAACTTTCGACAACAAAAGCCCGAAACGTGTGATTTACAAAATAAAATGTGATTGTGGACAGAGTTACAAAGGCGAAACCTCCCGGCCTATCAACACCCGTGTGAAAGAACACCGGACCTCGGTCACCAAGTACGACAGCAAATCAGCCATCTCTGATCACATCCAATTGAACCCTAATCACCACATAAACTGGACTGACATCACCATTCTGGCCAACAACCAAAAGGACTTCACCAAACGAAAACAAGAGTCATCAGAAGATGACATATCCCCCCGGCCCCCACATCTTTGAAAGAACAAATCATCTGACAGTTACTTAAAGTCCAGCTTGATTTTAGACTAAGTGCAAATCGTTTCCATGGAAATCATGAAAAAAATAAATGACAAAAATATGCAAATAGCAAAAGGGACCACTTCAAGATCTGACTCACATATCTGCCAAGTATTGCTGAAAGATATTAAGAAGTTTTCGCGTTGTGCTCCGGAAACGAAAACCACCCCTTCCTTTTGACACTAAGTCCGAATCATTTCCATGGAAACCGAGAAAATAATAAATCACAAATATCTGCAAATAGCAAAAGGCTTTTCTGCCTCACTATCTGCCAAGTCTGAAAGATATTTATTTTCGAGTTGTGCTCCAGAAACAAGCCCACCCCTTCTAAGTCATGGAAACCGGGAAAAATAAAAATGCCAAAAATCTGCAAATAGCAAAAGGCACAACTTTAGGATCTGTTTGATATATCTACTAAGTTTTGTTGAAAAATATTATATGGTTTTTGAGTTGTGCTCCGGAAACGAAAGCAATCCTTACTTTTTGAGACTAAGTCCAAAATGTTTCCATGGAAACAAGAAAAATAAAAATGACAAAAATCTGCAAATAGCAAAAGGCACCACTTAAGGTTCTGCTTGATATATCTACCAAGTTTTGTTGATAAATATTGAACGGTTCTTGAGTTATGCTCCGGAAACGAAGCCCACCCCTCACTTTTGGGACAAAGTCCGAATCGTTTCCATGGAAACCGGGAAAAATAAAAATGACAAAAATCTGCAAATAGCAAAAGGCACAACTTTAGGATCTGTTTGATATATCTACCAAGTTTTGTTGAAAAATATTGAATGGTTTTTGAGTTATGCTCTGGAAACGAAGCCCACCTACCCCTTTTGGGACTAAGTCTGAATCATTTCCATGGAAACCGGGAAAAACAAATATGCCAAAATTCTGCCAAGTAGCAAAAAGCACCACTTAAGGTTCTGTTTGATATATCTACCAAGTCTTGTTGAAAAATATTGAGCAGTTTTTGAGTTATGCTCCGGAAACGAAGCCCACCCCTCTTTAAGACTAAGTCCAAAACGTTTCCATGGAAACCGAGAAAAATAAAAATCTGTAAATAGCAAAAGGCACCACCTTAGGTTATGTTTGACATATCTACCAATTTTTGTTGAAAAATATCGAACGGTCTTTGAGTTATGCTCCGGAAACAAAATGATTACGGACGGACGGGCGGACAGATGGACGAGGCGACGACTATATCCCCCCGCATTACATGCCAGGGGGATAAATATACTAACTTTAATACTGAAACTATCAAGGATGTAGCTACCATGGAGCCTCACTATCACTATAAAAAGAAACAGGTAGGAGGGGTCGTCTCAAAAGCAAAACCAGGATGAGTGTCACAGACGGTGGTGTGGGTCGTACTGGGGGATCAGCTAAGATAAGATAATCCTTTAGGGAAATTAAACTGGGGGAAGTAAACGGCATGTCTTAACAATTAACAAATAATATCCAGTCCTGTCGATCTTGGGGTTGTCTTGCCACCTATATATTTTGAGACATTTAATACGATAGTTGATTTAAGCTTTTCTATGGGTATCATATTGTTTTACATATCTCAACATAAATGTTATGAAAGACGCGTAAGATGATAATCAATAGATGAGACATATTCAATACACATGTAAAAAGCATAAAATATCTTTGAGATGACCCCTTGTGCCTGTAGGCAGCACATGCATTTCATGCCAGGTGAGTCGACGGTCCGTCATACCTGGCTGAGGGACCTAATTACCATCTATGATCTATTGTTTTCAGCAGCTATTTGTATTTTTTCTAAGTTTTGCCTGATTTTACGAGTAAACATGCATTTCTAGATATCCTATTACACATCCCACTAAACACCCAGTTAGGCCGATGTGGGTTATTTCGACATATGCCACTTGCAGTTGTGTTTTTAGGGATACAGACTAACAGCCTAAAAAACAGTTTTTCCTATTTCCGACAGTACTTTAGTGACAACCATATGCCGCCGTCATGAACGAACTTAATTCACCTTGGTGTACCGCTGAATATATTCTTATGCGAATGCTCGATTCTCTTCATATAAATTCACGTACGATTTGCTTCTTTTTTAAGAGTAATTTTAAGAATGACATTATATGATAAAGAGTGTGTGTTTCCGTATAATTAATACCATACATTAGGAATAAAAATTATGTATTAAGCTCGCCAAATACATTTTTATTCCTAATATATGATATGAAATGATACAGAAACACACTTGGTATGTATGTAAGCTCAAAATAACAACATCATAATAACAATATATGGGGTATTTTTAGAAGTTGGATTATCTTTCAGTATGTTCAGATTAAATTAAAGAAACATGTTAAAACTCATCCGATTATATGATATGTAATAAGCTAGAAACACAGCCAGACATCAGGGCTGGTAACTTCAAAATGTAGCTTCGCGGGCTCGCCCGTAAGTCCGCTTTGCCCCTTAAACAATGTCTGAAAAAGACTTATTACATTTAATTGATCATATAATATCCACTGGTTCAGCCTTGTGGACTCCATCGAGCATTGCCTCGAGACGAAAAAGCTACGATCACTAACAAGCGAAACACACTACCTTGGAAGTATGTAATCTGTTGCAGCACTCGCATTCGCGCGTCGACTTTGTGTACGGCTGAAGCGACGAAGAACTGGGATAAACTATAGTAAAACCCAATTTACTGTTGTGCTCGTTGGTTATTCAGTCATTTATAATCGTGCGGCAACATTCCCACTCAAGCAAAACTTTAAGCTGGGCGCCGTCTCGCATATCGCAAGGTGGCGCGCGCAAAAGCAGCTGGGAACCAGCTTAACAAAAACGCTCGCGTGAAGGGAGCCAGGAACCAGTTTATGATATAAAACTAGCTCCACAGTAGTTACGCGCCGCAACCAGACGCTTTCAGCCTCCTAGTGTAAGTAGGCAGTAACTCAGTCCAGAGATCTTGAGGAACCAACGGTCAGGCGCAGTGGTGCTGCGAGGAACTGCGTGGGAGAGAGCAGACGTCACCCGGTTTGCAGAGGACTCGTTTCCTATCGAATGAATTGTGTTGATGAAGACATCTCCTGTGAATACAAATGTAAGTTTTGATTCATTCATCTCTCGTTCTATTAACAGTGTTGCCTCAACTGTTCGAAAACAGTGACTGCGACTGCGAGAAAAAGATCGAAGCCTCACAGTGTGCTGAGACAGTGTGTTGTTCAAAGACAAAGACGACGCTCTGATTGATTACAAGTAACGACAACAGATTCGAAAAATATGTTTCGGGTACACGGTTTGACCTGATGTCATTTTAATGTCTGACATCCACCATATTTGTCAACTTGGAACCTGCATTCACGTTATTTCAGTTGCTGACGAAGTCCAAGCCCTATGAATTCCCATGATAAAACAATGTCGGAAAGAAGTGCACAGTGGTACTCTGCTGTCTTTCTGGTAATAATAAACGTTTATTAGATATCATCCATATGTCTGTATTTATGTTTGGAATCCCTCTTTTTATTTTATTCAAAATTTCTTTCTATAATGTTTCAATATTAGTTTCGTGGAAATCGTGTGGGAAGCAAACGGGCCAAGTAATCAACAGAGAAAATAGCACCAACAACCACTATTGATGCTGAATGGGTCATTGTCGCAGGTACTACATATATGTACCCCAGGTTTAGTTTCTGTTTACAGAAATGTACCCTAAACAAAGTGAAAATACAGAGATGTATCGGTACATTAAACGGCAGACGAGTCCATATTCCTCAACCAAAAGCCATATGAATTTGTTCCTGATTGCCAGTGGTATTGTGCATCGTGAAATATTTGTTTTTTTGTATGCTCGTTTCTTATGTAATGCAATCAAATGCATCGTATACAACAGTATGACACTTCCGATCAAGAAAATGGCACAATGCGGAATGGACTCGTCCTAGGGTAGGTTTCTGTATACCTGTGCTGACATCAGCCCTTTCAGTTTCAGCACATTTGACGCCTTGAAACCAACCTTATTTGACTGAGAATAGATATCATAAATACAGTACCTTAATATGTTAATGGTTGTATATGTTGTAAATTGTAGAGAACATATGTGGAAAGCTAATTTATATATGAGGATTAGAAAATACACACCATACATCCATGACCATAACCTTTATGCCTGATACATTATCTTGCAGAACAGGAAATCCAGGAAAATGGTTAATCATCATGTCTAGTAAAATGTTTTCACAAATTCCACATATTTATATGGAACAAGTTCAATGTCTGTCCATTTATATATGTCAGAATATGTTGATTTAGTTTACTTTTTTGATAGGCATACTATGCCGCATAGTTTTCATCTTGCTCAATAAACCATTTGCTTCAAAACACTGAATCCCATAGAGGGTGTGTGCTTAATACCTGAGTGTGAACTGTACTGAATAATATACTGTGATGCTGAAACGTTATCACAACTACCACACGAAACAAAATAATCTTTCCATTATCTTACCTCATCATTTCTTTGACATTTTGTGTGTACTGTAGGTAATTGGTTTCACATTTCAGAAATCTTTATGAGGCATTGGCATTACTGTAGTAGTAGTAGTAGTAGTAGTAGTAGTAGTAGTAAGTAGTAGTAGTAGTAGTAGTAGTAAAAATTCAGCAAATTTCATTTGGAAATATCTCCCTTTCTCAGGTGGTCAAATTCTTATTGGACTTCAGTTCAAAGATCTATGCCTCACTAACCCCCTTAAAGTTAGCCCTACACAAGATTGCATTGGGTATGACTTCAAAGGTAGATAATTTGACAATATCTGCTTATGGAGTTTTGCCTGGTTTGTTGGTGATTGTAGCCATTTACTTTTTAATATTTAATGTACTGATAGTACTCACTCAATCTTCTGGCTGATGAGTGATGACAAGTGTCATATCTGTTTTATCATTGTCATCTTACAGAGTTTTACGCCAGGAAAAGCAAACCCATCTGACTCAATTACAAAGATTCCTTAAGGCCCTGACTGTGAATATATTGCTATCAAATATATATGTACATGGTCCTTTGCAAAGGCTTTGGGTTATTGGCCAAAGTTTCAGCAATGTTAATTGGTTGTTCTAAGGGAAGCAACTCTTGCTTGTTCTGTAGTATCCAGTATGTTAAAGTAGTTCACACAGTATGGATGACATGGTTCCCACAATTCCTTGTTTAGCAGACACATAGCAATCATGGTGACTCATGTCAGTTGAAAATTACATTCAAAAGAAAAGCAAATGATAACATACTTCTTGATAGTCAAAAAGGATTGTTATATATGACAAGACTTATAAATCCATCCATCAAGAGAATTTTCTATCACATTTATTTAAGAATTCATAGTTGCTAGACTTTGATTGATGGCAAATCAGAATTAATGTTGTGTGAATTTTGTGAAATCACAGGTATTTCTATTGTTGGAAATACTGACTTTGTAACTAACTTTTGGAAGTTTACACGAGAGAATATTTAGAAAAAGTCATGTTCCTCACAACTACAGAAAGTGTGGAGACAACATCTCAGTCAACAACTGGGAACAACTTCATGCATCAAATGCCAGGCCCAATCAGAACAATGTGGATGAACTGAAGAATAAATTCAATACTGCATATTGTATTTTTCCAAGAGAGACATAAGATGAAGTAAGTTACTTCACACTGATGATTGATGGGGCTACAGGCAGCTCACATTTTGGATGATGATGATGCAATGAATCTACTTATGGAAAGGTCTTACCGCTTGGTGTACCTGAAAACAAGTTACTCTAACTGGATATGCTGAGAACTTGAACAGGCCCTTGCTGATGATCTTTTATCTATTGAAGAATCACTGTCAGCCAGTGTCAAGAACATTATCAACATTTACTCACTGGTTTCTGTGTTGTTTCCTCGACATAGTTCATAGTTTCTCAGCTTGCCTGATACAGTTTTCTGTCGTAGATCGCCTTATTTCAGCACCAGGCAGATTTTGAAAGTACCAAGATCTGATTTTACTGAGCTTGGGATGGAAATTGCAACTCTGCTTACTAGACAGACATGCATGTTTATCACTTACAAAGTGGATGTTTCTCTGCAAATTCTGTCATAACTTTGTGCAATGGCTTGTTTATACTTACCTCCTATCCAGCAACTTTCTTTAATCATCACTCCAGCTTACTCAAAATTAGTTTGCACAGTCAAGGATTCTATTTTCTTTTTATGCAATTTCAGTATTACAGCACAAATGGCACAATATGTCATTTAGTCATTATAATAACGAAGGGAAACATTTGTTGTGAATGAAAGTATGTGTAGATTTGAATGTAAACCATAAATATGATCACAAACACTTCATATATGTACTTTACCCAATATACCGGTTCTCAGAAAAAATATTGCAATGTGTATCATTTGAAAAGCATATTGCAATATACCGGTATATCAGTAATACCGTGCAGTCCTAGCTGTGACACATGGTCTGCCACTCCGAGGTCTGTCACAGGTTCTGCCAGTCTGGTGGTACTGATGGAACAACTTAATGATGGTCTGACGTGAGCATTTGAAGGCTCTTGCAATATGTGTCTTTAGCGTCCTCATCATGGCCATGCCAACTGCTCTCTCCCTCTCTTCTGCACTTAAATGTGGCATCCCTCTGATGTTTGGCTGATGTGACAGTGTGTGACTATTTGGATTAAGATATGTAGTGGTACCTGTATTTAGATTGCATGGAAAGCCGTAAAACATATTATTAAATAGAAAAAGAATAATGTCAAAATTATATCTCCAGGGATTTCCTGGACACAAAATATTGTGTAGAATACGCAATAAATTTAGAGATGTACTCGAAAATAGAACGTCCTGCGGCCTCATGGATGCAAACAAAATCAGTAATAATTCTAATGGATATAACTGTAAAGTGGAAATAAAGACATGCGTTCGTTAGACTAAACTAACTTGCCAGCTAAACTTGACTGACACTTGAAAACGAAACTAAAGTAGAGTGAGCTCCCTTTCTTAATTTCACGACACGCCCCTTCGTAGCTACTCATCCCTTTCCATAAACTTTTCGAGCGAACAGTGCGAGTTAATTTATTCAAAATCGTGACGTAAATTTTCATTGGATAGATATAGGTCAACTATCTCAGTAGATTTCGTGGAACTACAAGTAATCTCATTGGCAGATATTTCTGGACTTTATCTTCGATTATTTCAGTGAGTGACAGTGAATTTTTTCTGAAATGTTTGAACAATGAAATTGAACAATTGATCATCCAGTTACAATAAATATGACATTTAGCGAAACAAAATGTAAATTCATGTCCATTTTCTGTGAACTACACTTCATTTTGAGATGTGAGTAGACACAATATGATTGTCATTTCTGTGAATAATGCACACGGAAGTTATAACTTTCTGTAGATTGCCGGGAAACGTGTGCACAGCTGATTGCTATAATAGTATATGTATATATATATAGGCATCGCTTAACATTTGCTAATGCTGTTGTAGAGTTCGGGCGCCATGACGAATTATCATACGCAAGCCAATTTAGTTAATTTAGGAGAGTACGCAAGGTATTATAGACCTATTGGGTATTAAGTGAGTCTTAAACGTTTTTTTGTACTCCCAGTGAGTAAATGTGATTTTTATTGCGTAAAATATGCAAATATGCACCTTTTCTGGAGCTCTGTATACTGTTTTGATACTGATTCTTTGTGCATAGATTAAAGTTTGAAATAGATGAAGTCTCTATTTCTAATCAGATGGGTAAATCTGTGCAAGGGAAATGGCTTTGAAGATAATTGAAAAAAATCAGATCATTGATACAGAGCTACAGATAACTTTTTGGGTCATTGAGTTATGTACTCCCTTGTCTTCATCTCAATTGGGTATCTTAATTTTCCTTTGAGTAAATAAATAACGAAATAAATTGTACTCACCTCACCCAAACTCAATTGGGTATTTTGCCATTTTCCATTAATTTGAAAACTATAATAAAGTTTAATAAATGTTAGTGTTTGTGATTTACATTTGATCTGTAATATGGGAAACGATAGAGACTGCAAGTTGTCAAGTTCATGTCCTGAAATAGAACCTCTCATTATACTTTAGTTATTTTAAACTATCCACCGGTACGCAAGCTACCATTTGACATTTTTGTGTGTACGCATTTAAGATCACAATTATTGAGTATTTACAAAACTTCAAGCATACTTGTACGCAATAGACTTAATAGGAATTGAGTTTTCACATAAATATTTGCGTAATTTACGAAGATACGCAGCTTATCTGTACCTCTGTTGATATATGTGAAGGTAAAGCTCCCTTATTACTCTGATTTGACTGCTTGAAGGAACAAATAGCAAGAAGAGCTCAATTTTTGCCTATGGGGATGTCTTTCCCTTGCCAAAATGTTGAATGCCAAAATTTCACATAGATATTTACAGTAAGGAATATTATGTTGTTCCTTGGTAAACTGTAGCATTTGCTTTCATTCTTGACATGACGGAATCCATGGTCACCATGTCTTGTAATAAAAGCAGGTTTGCAGTGAACAATGTTGATGTAAATACCAGGTATACATTTCATTCTTTTAGTTGTAATATGCCTACATGCTGCACACACTAACTAGCAGTCGCTTGACTGCTGATTGTCTGTTGACCTGTAACCACATGGTCACAACTCAGTGATCATATTGCGAGCAAATTAGATAGTTCCTTGCAATATTTGTCTTTACAGAAAATGGCTTGTTTTTGTCTTGGCATACACGTAGCTATGTTTGTCAATTACTCCTCACAGTATTTTTGTAATTCCAATTCAAGTTATAATGACTTTAGTTGTGGTGGTGTTTTTGTGGAGACATCTTTCGGAAATGCATTAATACAGTACTGAAAAGTGACAACTAGTGTTGGGAACTGGTTAAAGTCTCATAATTGACGATTGGTTCATTACAACCGATCAATCATCGAAAATAATTGGTTAGGGTAATTCATCAAATTTTCCTGTTTATGTTTGTTTATGTACAAAAAATAAAGAAAAACAAAACATTTAGTTCATTATTGATTTTTTTTGGCAATTTGCACAAAATATAATTGCAAATTTCACATCTTTAAAGGATGACTAGTATGTTAGGAACATAAATACCCTGGAGTCTTTAAGATAAATTCATTCATGACTTGGAACGAGCTTGTAGTGCTTATGAAATGTAACAGACAAAACCACCCTTGTGAAAAACATTGTTAACGCAAACAGGTGTTCCAAAATGGTTTGCGTTCAATCATGAGAAAACATGATCGATTGCTCGGTCGTTTAGTCATTGCGACCAATCTTCGAATATTTCACTTAATCGGAACACCACTAGTGACAACTCTTTTATGTTTTCAGTGAACAACTTAACATCCACAAGTTACTTAAGGAAATACAGAGCCAACTATAGATTCCTTTATCTGTTACTCAAACAAGCCTAATCATGGACTGTGAGAGAGTACTGGGGGAAAGAGATGATGTCGAGAAACAATCTGTTACTGACATGCTGGAAACAGATGATGGGAAGATATGCAGGGGAACTGAGACTTACAAGTGTGTTGAATGTGGGAAAGACTTTACACGGTCACGTTACCTTCAGAGACACATGAAGATTCACAGTGGAATGAAACCTTATCAGTGTATTGTCTGTGGTAAACAGTTTTCAGAATCGGGTAACCTGCAGAGACATATGAGGATTCACAGTGGAATCCAGCCTTATCAGTGTGTTGAATGTGGGAAAGGATTCACAGAGTCTGGCAACCTTCAGAAACACATGAGTATTCACACTGGAATCAAACCATATCAGTGTGGGGAATGTGGGAAAGAATTTACTCAGTCACTTTACTTACATAGGCACATGAGAGTTCACAGTGGAATCAAACCTTATCAGTGTCTGGAATGTGGGAAGCAATTTTCAGAGTCTGGTAATCTGCAGAGGCACATACGGATTCACAGTGGAATCAAACCTCATCAGTGTGTTGAATGTGGGAAAGGATTTACAGAGTCAGGTAACCTGGAGAAACACATGAGGATTCACAGTGGAATCAAACCTTATAAGTGTGTTGAATGTGGAAAAGAATTTACACGGTCATGCCACCTGCAGTCACACATGAGGACACACAGTGGAGTCAAACCTTATCAGTGTGTTAAATGTAAGAAAACCTTTACACAATCTTGTCACCTGCAGACACACATGCGGACACACAGTGGAATCAAACCATATCAGTGTGCAGAATGTGGGAAAACATTCACAGTGTCAGCTAGTCTGAAGACACACATGTGGAAACACAGTGGAATCAAACCTTATCGATGTGTTGATTGTGGAAAAGAATTTACACAATCGTCTCACCTGCAGAGACACATGAGGAGTCACAATGAAAAGAAATCTGCCCAACACCATGCTTCAACATTGATACAAAGTTGATTTTGGGTCAAGATCAGGCTGATCATTTCTCATCAGACTTTAGGTTGTTTTGAATTGATTTCAGCTGATTTTGTTGAGGATTTGTAACCATGACTACGTCTTGGGTTAACCTTAATCAGCTAGAGACTAAACAATATTTGGGTTGGCATCTTATGTCCCCAAATGAATATGGAGGCAACAACTGCTTTTCACCAGAGTTATAATAAACTGATTAGGAAACTGATGGCTAAATGTCATGGACAACTGTTGTGTGCTTTTCCATCAGTTCTCTGTGGTCTCACTTGCAACCTGTTGTGGGTGCAGAGATGGTCTTTGCATACACAATAACGAGATGGCTGAGGTTCTCCTCTCTGCCCAATGTTTTGTTCATTACAATGGTGGAAATAGTGAGATATCTACAAACCAGCATGAGACAGCTTTCATGGAGCTAAAGAGATGATGCTTCGTTATCTATGAGCTGGAAGCAAGTTACCGGTTCCATCTGCTTCCACTGAATCCCAGTTAGGAGGTCGGCTTCGATTCAACTCTGCTATCATCATTAACAAATTTTGAGTTGTCACTGAAAAGAACAAAATAAGAAGCAACAACATGATATGACCAAACATACTCCCATGCCTAGAGCCGAGTTACACAAATGACTTTGTGATTTGATTTCACAGACGACTCTGCAGAAATCACTACATGAAAGTTCAATATTCATCTACATGAAAGTTCAATATTCATCTACATGAAAGTTCAATATTCATCTACATGAAAGTTCAATATTCATCTACATGAAAGTTCAATATTCATCTACATGAAAGTTCAATATTCATCTACATGAAAGTTCAATATTCATCTACATGAAAGTTCAATATTCATCTACATGAAAGTTCAATATTCATCTACATGAAAGTTCAATATTCATCTACATGAAAGTTCAATATTCAAAGCATGATGGGATTGTGTATGGGTTCCCATTTAATTTGGTCAATTTGGATTTGAAGTTCCATTTGTGCACATAGTGTACCATCAACACACACTGATTGATGTCTATCTGATACATATAATCTGATCCAGTTCACTTCCTTAAGTGGCATATAGAAGCTGGTATGATGTCTATCCATAAAAAGTGTTCCACTTGATCCAGTTCAGTATCGTTCCAGTTAATCTAATACTTCCAGTGGTTCCACCAAGATACTATGAAGAATACTGAGGTCAAAAGTATTGAAAGCAGCTGAATCGTCAAGCCTTTTCAATATTGCTGTACCCTCAGTGTCAATGTATGCAAGAATGTTGTTCTGAACTTGAAGTGAGGCTGTCCCACTACCATGAAATTGCATATAGGCTGACTTGAAGGTGTCATGTAGTTTGAGGATTTGTAAGTATCTTGGCTTAAGTCCCCCTTGTAAACACATTAAACATTTTTAATGAGTGAGTTAGTGAGTTTGGTTTTACGCCGCTTATAGCAAAATTCCAACAATATCATGGCGGGGGACACCAGAAATGGGCTTCACACATTGTACTCATGTGGCATTTTTAATGAAGCTATGTGAGCAGTTCTGATATTGAACGCAGTGCTGCTATAATCTTGTTGTGATTCTTGGTTGAATTTGGTCCGCAGCAAGTCTTCTTGAAGATTAGCGTCCTTGCATCTGTTGCATGATGCAACAGTGTTGTAAGTGGTGGCAAATATTATTGGGTTGTCAGACTCACAAATTTGGTCGACACCCCATTGATTGATGCACATAGCTTCAATCTGGATTATGATGTTAATCATGTTAATTGTGAACATATTTACAGATCGGGATTGTTCAGATCAGGGCTCAGGTGTCAAACACTATTTCAACAGCCAGGCAACAGGAGCTGGTTAATCAAGCTAAAATTCATCGTGTAGACATGATCAATCTGAACATAAGTTACCTCTACTGGGGAGATATTTCAAACTAACTGGAACGTAAGCACAACTTATACCACAACACTGTGATTTGATACAGTTATTTGAGAAATATATTAATCGAGCATTTTTGTGTGAGTTTTTCCAAAAGCTGTTATCCCAACAACCTAAGAAACCGAAATTGTTTGCAACCAGAGTTTGACTAACATAGTATATATACTTCCTTTCAAAAGTTTAGACTCACTTAAAACGCTCACTATATGTTATGTATATGTGTATTGAAGGTTGATTTCTCCACTTACTTGGGGGAACCAACTGCAAGCCTTATGCAGATGAACTGCACGACGGTCGTGCATCAAATTGCTGAAAAGCATGTGCAAATATCGTACATGTGAACAGCTGCTTTTTGGTGTAAGTTTTGTTAAGAATTCACCTTTTCAATGTTACAAATTTGTTTTACATCAGTTCATGTGTAAACAGCACCTTTAAACAGTATGGAATATTTTGCAAAATTTAGTTTAGAACAGTTGCCTAAGGTAAGTGGCCATATTTACACTAGTGAGTCTAAACTTTTGAAAGGAAGTATATGTTGAGCCATGAGCCCTCAAAATATTATCTCATGTTTCCATAATGCAGCTTTATTGTGGTGCTTAGAGCAAGATTAGTCATTTGTTAGTGTTAGACTATTCACTGCTACACCAGTGCATCATGATGCTTTAAACATGTTAAATGTCCACCAAGTGTTACATTGATAAAGAGGCACAAAATTATAGAAGGGAACTGTTATTATAGCTGTTGTCATGATGTTACATCTTTGAATGACGATGCATTAGATTTCTATGTGTCCATTTCTACATTTTCTACTTTTCTGCATTGGATTCATACAAAGAGTGACAAATATCATTTCATAATAGTATTTTTTTTGTATGTGGCTATCATTTTCTATATTGGTGTATTGATGGAAATTGGTAACATTTATTTTGCCATAATAGTAAGAAATCTGTTGAAAGCAGAATTGATTGTGTGATTCTGACATTATTAAGGGGTGCTTCTGAATCACTCTCAAATATTAATATCAGGCATTCACAAAATTGTGAGCATTACCTGCCCCATTGATTTCACCCATCACTAACAAAGGCAAAGGAAAGTCCTCTTGGAAAGCACACAGGAACATAAATAACAAAGTTAAAATAGGGGATTGCAACAGACACCATTTTGTCTCTATTGTGTCAAATTTGAAAATGTCTTCCACATGCTTTCCATAAAGCATTTTTAAAGCATTGCTCAGGTGAATATTGTAACCTTGATCAATATCTTCTGAGCAAGGGTTTTATTATGCTCTTTGAAATTTTGCTAGAAGGATCATGCTTGGTTCTGTCTCAAAATTTGTGAACTGGAGAAGCAAAAGGCTATAGCTGCTGGAATGCTGCTTGATATAAAGAGAAAATTGTCCATTGAAAGGTTAAAGGAGAATATGAACGAAAACAAAACTTTCGATATATTGTAAAGGATATTCTAAAAGTCACCTTCCGTGATTAAAAGTGAACAAAAAGTTTGTAAAATAGTAATAAAACACAAAACGTACTCATATTTCTGCCTATTACGGAAACACCCGACAGTTAATGAGCAGAGGGGGTATTACGTGACAAGACGTCATATGTGGCTGTTGCTGATGGCTTCCTCTTTGATTTTACCTCACAACTTAACAGTGTCCATGGATTCTGAAGCAGTAAAAGATGTTCCTGATGTCATTTCTGAAATGGATGTTAGACCGTATCAATACAATCCCATTATACATCTTTCAAGACAATCTTTCAGTGAAGATGAAGAAGAAGAATCAAGCAAAACGGAGGCACTGCTTGAGGTCAAAATAAATTTTAAAATAGACCATATCATTTAACAAGAATACTATTAGTCAGCATTTTGTGATACAGTTCCAACTAGCAAACTCACCCCTACAAATATATGACCAGTCCCTAAGAATTTTTTTTTTTTTAAATGTGATTGCAGTTCCTTTTGTGTCAAATGGGTGACTGTAGGGTGTCTGGGATTTGAAAACAAAATAATTATGCTTCAGACGGGAAAATATATATTATCTGCTACAAAAATTACAATGGAATTATTTTGTTGAAAAATATTAGGATCCTAATTCTCATTAATAACATATCAAGTCTCCATACAAGATCCCAGTTTGGTCGAGCAGAGATGATATTCGCGACGCAGACATGTAATTCCCCGAAAACTGGTGAATTATAAAATACTAGTCAATACAATATGTTTGCCTAGTTTTTGGTTATGGAAATAAAAAGTTTTTGGTTATGGAAATAGTTATGGCACTTGGTCATAGCCTTAGAATGACATCTTGTCGGCCAATCAGAATACAGAACAACTTTCATGGCACACAGTACTGACAAATAGCGAGTCTGATGCCAATGTGCGTAATTGGACAAAATGGAAAACAATGAAAGCAACAAGTACTTCATGATTTGCCATTGTATTCAGCAATGTTTTGGGTAGACTGCAGCATTTAGGGCGCCAAACCGAAAAGAACGTTATAGCGAAACATGTTCAAGCTTATGTGAAATCTCTCACTGATTTTGATAATATATATCTCATGGGTACCAGTCGAACTGCCCCAGCTACAAAGTGCCCCAGCAAACTTGGTTATTCAATTTGTAGTACTTCTTCCTTCTTCAGTCAAGCTTTTGGATTTTCATACCCCCATGTGTGCATGTCTCATTCATATGTGTCCGACTCCGAATAATCGGAACATTTCTCCTGCCTAATTCTGTCTCTTTACTTGGAAAACGGAAGAAATGGTGGCTCTTTCCATTGTTCGATGATTCCGTGCACCCCCAGGCAACGGAATACACCATCATACAATTTACGGAAACAACACGATTTGTATTACTGTAGCCCTTGTTCTTGGGCAATATGGCGGACGCTTGTCACAAATGACGTCACGAGCGGAAAGGTCACGTGAGTTCCAGCGGAATATGCATAATGGCCAAAGCTCAGATAACAGAAACTGTTTTCGCGATAAAAACATAATAAACCATATTTTAGAAATAAAAATTGGGGTACATGTTTCTGATGACTTTATCTTTCACCCAGCAAATTATTGCAATTGCCTAGTATTCTCCTTTAAGCCATCACCCTGGTCATGCAGTTTTGTGGAGAGATGACTAGTACTATAGACATACAACAATAGACTTACCAAAGACCGAACATGTTGCTGGGAAGGGGAGAGCAAGTCTGTAGATACTTCTTTCTTGACCAATATTAACATTGTAAATGCAAGGTGCATATTTCACTCTTTCAGTTGTAATATATGTATACGCTGCACTACACATTCTCGCAGGCACTCACTTGACTGCTGATTCTCTGTTGGCATGTAACCACATGGTCTAATTTTGATTATATTCATCACAAGCAACATAGATATTATTTAAGAAATACAGTTCGCTCTACCACCATGTATAGTGTAATAAAACACACTTTCGCCCTGAACTATTATAGTTAAAGTACGAGGACGCTTGCGTCCGAGTGCTTTAACGTTATAATAGTTCAGAGCGAAAGTGTGCTTTATTACACTATACATGGTGGTAGAGCGAACTGTATGTCTTTTCTAAGATGCCAAATTTAATACTTTCTAAGGATAATTACGATTAATTTAAGGCAGAAAACAAACGACGGTGTCGGTGACCTAAATTAAGAATCCTCGCACAGGGCTAACTATCGCGCTGTTCTATTGATGTGTCTGCCCCCCTACGTTAAGACAAACGTTACCAGAAAAAAACAAATGATAACAGTTTGATGACTGTTTACGTTCGGATTAAATATCTTCTCTGAATTAATTTAATTACATCTGTCATTGACGTAAACCATATGGGGCAATATGAACGTCGCATTTCTACTACCAACGTAAGTTTAGATCAGTACATCCAGATGAAGCTAAGTAGTCAAGCGACATTCCACGATTGCATTGTGGGAATGTAAACATTGTGAATGTTACCGTGTCGTTGAAAACTTCTGAGTCGAATTGACACATTTTAATCGTCGTAAAACATAAACGTAATGTTTCCACCAGTGATGTTAGCTGCGTGAAGCAACTGCAAACCAAGAAACGGGATGCAACGGAGTAGTTTACTGTAGGAGGCCGTACGAGGCGATGACAACTGACATGCATCGTGACGTCGCTTACATTGTGACGTAATGTAAAAATGGTTCGATTACGGGGGGGCACACTAGAATGGCGCAGTGACGGGATAACGTCATTCAACTGTTACGTCATCAAAAAACTATACCTTTATTGTGTGATAATGTTGTTGTTTTTTATTGTTCTAACCGCTAGGCATCTTAGAATTGCTATTTCTGTCATTGCCGTAAATAATATTCCTTATTTCTATACTGAAATGGCTTCTTTTCACTTGATTAGTATTGGCAAATATGAATGGTTGGTTTGTAGTGTAAGGCCGCACTCAGCAATACTACCGCTATAAGGCGGCAGTCTGTAAATAATCGAGTCTGGATCAACATCACGAGCATTGTTCTACTCAATTTTGATACAATGACATGTGTCAACCATGTGTCAGCGAGCCTGACCACCCGATCCCGTTAGTCGCCTCTTACAACAACCATGGGTTACCGAAGATCATTTCTGAAATGGACTGAATCTGCTCAACAGGTATTGGCATACATGTCACCGTCTTCATTACTTACTCGTCACAATATTTTGTAATCCTCCAGTCATGAAGACTGTGGTTGTTATTGGTGGTGTTCTTCTGGAGACCTTTTGGAAATGCCTTGACACAATACTGGAAAGTGACAACTCTTTTATGTTTTCAGCGAACACCTTAACATCTACAAGCTTATAATGGATATACAAAGCCAACCACAGAATCATGTTTCTGTTACTGAAACTAGCCTAATCGAGGACTGTGAGAGGGTACTGGGGGAAAGAGATGATGTCAAGAA